AGTGCTGCTTTGATATAATTTTTAAAGAAATAACAGCGTGTATCTGTAGTGCTGGAAAGTACATCAGAAGGTCGACATGATTTCATTTAATTAGATTTTGAAATTGTATCCGAGTACTATACCTAGCCTCCAGGTGGGGTCTGGGGATCTCTCAGAATTACAGTTTATCTCCAGTCTACAGGGATCAGTTCCCCTAGAGAAAATGAAGGGTGGACTCTATGCATTGTACCCCACCGAGGTCTCTGCCCTACCCAGGATCCATCCCCAAATCTTTGGGATTTCCCAAGCTGGAGATGTCGTGCAAGCAAATAGGGAGGGGTAATTTTTACTCTTCTGCTTGTGCAAGGACTGCTATGCATGTGGAAATGTTTGGTGGGGTCCAGCCCCACATACCTCTAGGGTTTGTGCTTGCTGTACAGTGTTTTTATGCAGTGATTCTGCCATGTGATAGAATGCAAGTGCAATTCCTGAAGTGCAAATAGGCAGTTTTATGAAAAAGAGATTAATGGTTTGACATGAAATGGTGTGTGTTTCTGTGAAGAAAAACGTTTTCTTAGCGATGTCGTGTAATTCCTGAGAGTTGGTGGCTAAGTCTCCCAATTTCTCCATTCCAGCTTTCCTTTGGTAGCTTCTTGTTCTGCAATTAACATACTACCGTGTTTCCCCTAAAATAAGACACTGTCTTATATTTATTTTTTCTCAAGAAGACACACTAGGGCTTATACCACAAATGCATAGAAATCCTGCTAGGGCTTATTTTTGGGGTAGGTCTCATTCTCGGGGAAACAGGGTAGTAGTTTTGTAGCCTATTTTGTTGTGATACGAACCGACTGCTCAGAAGAAGCAGCACGTAAGCTAAATGAGTATGGGAATTCCCAGTTATGTGATGGCTGACTTTGTCTGTAAAGTACTTCAAGTAAATTACGGCACAGTTTCTCATCTCGGAGCATTTCAAGTAAGTTCATTACACTGATCAGCAGGAGACTGCAATAGTTTTTGGCGAGCGTGAGAACGTGAGATTACCAGATGGCCCACTGCTTTTACTATTAAACTTCCACTTTGAATTCCAAACCCGGTCTTCTCATGGTCTGCAAAGGTGAAAGAAGTAGATGAATGAGTGAGGTGATTGGTTGGTGACTGAGAGTGTATGGGCGGAGCTAAGAGGTGTGTGAGTGGAGAGAGAAGACAAAGTGTTCAGTCAGTAGTCAGCAGTGTGCAGCTCTCAGCTGTGGTCAATCTACACAGAGTCTGAGAAGCAGTCCTCTCATTAGAATCATACAGATGTGCTGTGAAAGGCATTAAGATTCTAAAGGAGGAAGAAATATACGTAAGGGGGCATATTAGGCAAAATCTAATATTGTCAGAGTATTATAAGGGGGGGGGGGAAGCTGAGAGAGACCTGAGTAAAAAGGGAAAGATTTTACTGAGCAACTTAACAAAACATCTTGTAACCAATACGCTTCTTTTACCAATAAAGTTTTATCTTGTTTATTGCTAACCCAGAGTCCTTTGCTGTTTAAAATATAAGAATCTCATCCTCAGAAGTACATAGTCCAATGAAGAAGCCTTAGAGCTTGGGCACAATACTGTGGGGAAGGTTAATTAAAGACTGGAATTATGTTCCTGGTGGCAGCATTACACACACTGAGTGAGAGAAAGAAACAACAAGAAATTTAAAACCACATCCTACCTAACCACGCAAAATAAAAGAGAGGTACTGTGACAGCAGTGTTTCCTCTAAGTTGTGGAGTCTTCTGAGCAAAAAATCTACTTTGTGAGCTACTGGCATCAAAGTTCTGAGGAAGTGATTTGGCTGCTGCATAAATTAGTTTTCTCTGGAGCCATCCTTCCTGAGCTAAGACAAAAATGGGTGAGCCAGAGGCTAAAAAACTGTGAGCTCACACTAACTCAGCTTGGAGGAAACACTGTGTGACAGTATCTGATGAAGAAACCTGATAAGTAGCGTCCCCTTATGCTGTTACAGTGCAGTCCTCTATTGAATAATTCTTTTCTAAGCCTGTTGAAATCAATGGGTTTAGGCTGGAGTAACGCTGCGTTGTACATTAACTCTCTGCTGCCAAGACCCAACCAGCACATAATAGTAGCAGACCCATGTCATCAAACGTGGGGGTCACCCCGTCATCTTACGTGGGACACTAGCTGCAACTTCAAGCTCAAAAGGGACATGTCGCTGGAAGTGCTGTATCATACCCTCTGTTATCCTCACAATCCATCCTCCCAATCTTTTTCCCCCCACCAGCAAGACTCTTGTAGCAGAAACAAGCCCAGCTAAGAGAACTGTGCTGAAGCAAGAGGGGCTGTGGAAGGAAAGTCGGGGGGGGGGGTGGCTTCATAGTACATATATCTGCCCATTAGGATTGTCAGCCTCCGGCTGGATTTCTGTCCGGTCTCCAGACAACAGAGATCAGCTCCCTTGGAGAAAATGGCTGCTTTGGAGGGTGGAATCTATGGTATTAGACCCCACTGATGCCTCGTCTTTCCACAAACCCTGCTCTCCCCAGGGTCTACCCCCAAATCTCCAGGAATTCCTTAGTTGGCAATTCTGCTGTTTATGTACTCCTTAGTGGCCTAAGAGTTTATTGTCTTAGGTAGTACAGGAACCCCACTCATAAATATGCTTTCTTGATTTTTAACTCATTTGTTTAGGAAAAACGCAGTCTCAACAATGCTGGGTTTAGGAGAAGAAAAGAGAGCATAGAATCTGCTTTGAATGATCTTGATGATCATACAGAAACGTTAGTCTACAATGCTTCTTTCTGGGATTCCCATAACACTGTTAGATAAATTGGGGGGCTGTATTGAGTCAGGCAGTATTGATTTACAAATGAGAAGCTGGGAGCAACATAATTATTGCAGACAATGCATGAAATATAGTCAGTAAAATCCAGTGTGCTGCTCGGCGATATGGAGGAAATGTTGAAGTTTCCCTAGTGAATCCTCTCTCTGGAAATTTATCTTTATTGGCCGTTTCACTGAAAGTTTTATAATCCCAAATTGACTGCTTTATGCCAAAAGCAGTAAGCTAAAGCTAAGTAATAGGAGGGTGCAAAGAATGGAATACATAAATCTAAAATACAAAGTCAGAAAGCTTTCTAGAACTGTTAATATTTTTTTTAACAGTTCTTGCATTCTTGATTCTTTGAACGAACCAGGGAAGAACTATTTGAAAAAACAGTGAAATAAGTTAAATCAACTGCAAAACAGTACACAAGTCTTCTGGAAGTCTGAGAACAGAGTCAAGAAATTGAGGTGATCAAGTTTCATCTTCTGTTGCCCGCTCCAACAGGGATGCTTGAACACTTGCCAGTTTGACTCACCTTGATGAGCTGATTGTTGATGGACTCATTGTCTGTTTTATCAATCCAGTCAAGTCTGATTTGTGGGGTTGCCAGCCTCCAGGTAGTGGCTGGAGATCTTCTGGGATTACAACTGATCTCCAGGCAACAGCGATTGGTTCACCCAGAGAAACGGCTGTTTTGGAAGGTGTACAGTATGGCATTGAAATTCCCCTCCATAAACCCCACCATCCTCTGGCTCGAACCCCAAAATCTCCAAGTATCTCCAAACCCAGAGCTGGCAACCCTACTGTTTTGTCAATCCATTCACATCTGTATTCCTTACTAAGTGCCATAGGCTTTCCGTTTAGCTGCAGCCATTGTTTTACTGGTGCACCACAACAGAGAGCTATCTTTTTTTAAAAAAATTGATAGTTGCTGTTGCACACAAAGGTTCTTATAATCCATTACTGTGCTCTCTGAATTCCTCCAACTTTCATTTTTAAAAACAGGGAGGCCCTAGCTCTTTTTATTACCACTGAAAGAGTTAAGAGACAATTTTTAAAAAAGAATGGTGGCAGTCAGTCATTGGAATGTTAGCACACAATAGCATTTTACTGATTTATTTTTGTTACCCCCTCCGGTGGCGCAGCAGGGGAAATATGCAAAGGAGATGGTGGCTGGCTGTGTGAATGCAACCGTAGACAGTTCTATCAGTCACAGTAGTTGTTTTTTTCTATCCTACCCTTAGGTGTTGAGCTAAGCAGACCTTAGCAACACTCAGGGCTGCCAATCTGTTTGGATTGGCAGCATTTTGCACATGCCACTTATGGGAGGGAGGGTGATGCAAACTTATTTAGTGGGTAGTCGAGTCATTTGGTCTTAATCAACAACACGTTAGGCTAGAGGAAGCTTTCAGGCTTTACTGAGTTAATTAGAGTGGTAGGATGCAAGCCAATAATGCTAATGGTTTGATACCTTTACTCTCTTCGATTATTGCAGATCTTAACAATATGTAGTAAGCCCGTGGTGGTGGTGGTGCTGCTGGAAAGTGCTATCAAGTCACAGCTGACTTATGGTGACCCCATGGGGTTTTCAAGGCAAGAGACAATCAGAGGTGGTTTGCCATTGCCTGCCTCCACATCGTGACCCTGGTATCCCTTGATGGTCTCCCATCCAAATATGAGCAAGGGGTCCAAGCACTTAGCGTCCAAGATCTGACGAGATTGGGCAGGCTAGCTAACCAGGATGCTAACCAGGCAAGGGCTATCCAGGCCAGAACAGTAAGCCCTTGCAAGGTGCTAATAGCATTTATAGTTATGAGGAACATGGAGAAGACCGACTGATTGTTTCATACGCATGAATATCCTCATACCCATGAAGATACAGTCCTGAATGTACCTTTGCAATAAACCAAATCACGGATAAGTTTCAGCACTCATGGATGTTTGTAAAAAAAAAAATTGCACGTCATCCTGACTTGAGGCCTTTGGTCAAATGAGTTGACCATTAAAGGAAAGGGGGAACTCAAAATTTGGTCACTTCAATTGGTCACTCTCCTTGAGAGACCAGAGGTTTGTATTTTTGCACTGTCTTCTTCCAGTCACTGCTGATACATTTACGTTTGTAGGTACAATCAAACTTGCAGAGTTAATAGTAACATGTTTTTAATTTTTTTTTTTGTGGTTGATGTTTGTTGTGTAGGTAAATCTTGGGAGCAACCAGTATCTCTTCTCAGCGGTGGTGGATCCCAAGGAAATGCCCTGCTTCTGCTTGCGCCATGATGTTGATGCCCTTCTCTGGCAGCCACGTCCGGATCGGCAGGACATGTGGGAGCATGTTTCTACTTTCAATGCCTTAGGTACGGGAACCAGGCTTTACGGCATTCGTTTCTCTTTAAATCTTTCCCGTTTCAGGCAAATCATTCCTATCAGAGTCCCCTGATCAAAACTTGCTGACTGTTCCTGCAATTCTGAAGAAAATAGAATTTAATTTGGGGGTGGTTTATCATGCTGAATAACTAACTTACTGTGACAGTAGAGGAGATCAGTATATTAGCTATTTCATTCTCTCATCAAGCCCAGCCTTGGTCTGAATTAACCAGGGATTCATTTTGTGCAGGGAAGCTTTTGGTGAACACTGAATAAATGATTCTACTCAGTTGTGACCACAGATGTAGACTATTTTAGTTGAGCTCCAAATTAAATCCTTCAGGGGCACATTATACATTGTGCCAAGTTTGTTGGTGCCAATATTTTCGAGGTGATTGAAAATTCACCAGCAGTTGGCTTGATCATTCTTGATTTTTAACTGGCAGATAAAGTGGCTTTGTTTGGGAGTGGGAGCTGGGGAGTGGTGTTTTGTTTTTAATAATGTCGTGGACAATTCTGTAGTGAAAATACTGTAATTAGCAAACAGTAATGCAGAGCTAGATTTGTGGCAAATATATAGGATCATGTCAGGTCTGGTTTGATCTCAAAACAGTTCAAACAAAGGTCACAAAGATGTTCTTAGTTAATCTCAAAGATCATCTATTTATTTAAATAATTTCTGTGCTACCTTTCCACCCAGATAGGGTTCCCGAGGTGGGGAGCATTAAAACATTAAAATGGCATTTAGAATATTTTTACAATTTGATAAAAACATGGAGAATCATGTAGGAACTTGAGGAAGAAGGCAGTCCTTAAAGTATGTGGGGGTTCACTTATTTAGTGACTTATGAAGACATAACTCAACATTTCTGAGCATACTTAGAAGCATATAGAAAGTCTGATCATGTGGTCACGTCCTTTTCTGTAGACCATTGCTATAATTCAACCTGTGCTTGGATTTTCTAGATATGTTTGGTTAATAATGGTTGGTTGGTTTGTGTAGCAATTAATTGTGTACTTCTTTGACTTCCCTGCTTCTGTCTATTTTTTTTTACAATGCTTATAAACATGTTATCTTTTGATTACAAAAGCAATAACAGCCATGGTGAATAAGAAGGCTATAAGGAGCCAACTAACAACTTGGAGCACTAGTGCAATATTCTTCAAACTTTCCTGGTCAGGAATGTGGCTATCCCTACAGCCAGTGTTCCCTCTAAGCTGAGTTAGTGTGAGCTAGCTCACAGTTTTTTAGCCCCTGGCTCACACATTTTTGCCTTCGCTCAGGAAGGATGGCTCTATAGCAAACTAATTTATGCAGTAGCCCAATCGCTCGCTCACAACTTTAATGACAGTAGCTCACAAAGCAGACCTTTTGCTCACAAGACTCCACAGCTTAGAGGGAGCATTGCCTGCAGCTTATAAACAGTCTTGAAGAGCAGTCCATTGTAGTAGTCTAGTCCTGGAGAAGACCCTGATGCTGGGAAAGATTGAAGGTCAAAGAAGACGGGGACAGCAAAGGATGAGATGGTTAGACAGTGTCATAGATGCAACGAACATGAAATTGAGCCAACTTCAGAGGACGGCGGAAGACCGGAGGGCCTGGCGTGATCTGGTCCATGGGGTCGCGAAGAGTCGGACTCGACTGCACGACTGAACAACAACAACAACAAGTCTAGTCCTGGGGATGCAAAGGTGCAGAAGGAGAGGGAGGAACTGTGGCTCAGTGGTAGAACATCTGCTTGACGTGCAGAAGGTCCCAGGTTCAATCCCTGGCATCTCCAGTTAAAGGATCTGGCAGCAGATGATGTGAAAGACCTCTGCCTGGGATCCTGGAGAGCTGCTGCCAGTTCTGAGTAGACAATACTGACTTTGAGGGACCAGGAGCCTGATTCAGTAATGTTATCTTTTGATTACAAAAGCAATAACAGCCATGGTGAATAAGAAGGCTATAAGGAGCCAACTAACAACTTGGAGCACTAGTGCAATATTCTTCAAATTTCCCTGGTCAGGAACATGGCTATCACGTAGTGCTGTCTCCCTACAGCCAGTGTTCTCTCTAAGCTGAGTTAGTGTGAGCTAGCTCACAGATTTTTAACCTCCGGCTCACACCTTTTTGTCTTCGCTCAGGAAGGATGGCTCCAGAGCAAACTAATTTATGCAGTAGCCAAGTCGCTCACTCACAACTTTAATGCCAGCAGCTCACAAAGTAGAATTTTTGCTCACAAGGCTTCACAGCTTTGAGGGAACATTGGTCCCAAGTGGATTGCATTGTAGTAGTCTAGTCCTGGAGAAGACCCTGATGCTGGGAAAGATTGAAGGTCAAAGAAGACGGGGACAGCAAAGGATGAGATGGTTAGACAGTGTCATAGATGCAACGAACATGAAATTGAGCCAACTTCAGAGGACGGCGGAAGACCGGAGGGCCTGGCGTGATCTGGTCCATGGGGTCGCGAAGAGTCGGACTCGGCCATGCAACTAAACAACAACAACAAGTCTAGTCCTGGGGATGCAAAGGTGCAGAAGGAGAGGGAGGAACTGTGGCTCAGTGGTAGAACATCTGCTTGACGTGCAGAAGGTCCCAGGTTCAATCCCTGGCATCTCCAGTTAAAGGATCTGGCAGCAGCTGATGTGAAAGACCTCTGCCTGGGATCCTGGAGAGCTGCTGCCAGTTCTGAGTAGACAATACTGACTTTGAGGGACCAGGAGCCTGATTCAGTATGAGTCAGCTTCATGTGTTCACCACTCCCTGGAACATGGGAAAGCCACTGCCAGCCTAAGTAGACAATACGCCACTGGTAGACCAAGAGTCCACTAGAAGGCAGCTTTGTGCGTTCATGTGTCCGAGAGACTTGCAGAGCCTGAACGGAAAAGACAGACTTTTGCAGCAGCTCATTATAGCAGATCTTTTAATTTCCCTATTTCAAGGTTATGGTGTGTTTAGAGTAACTATATCTACTGTTATTGCCTCTGTGCTCTTTAGGTTACGTGCAAGCGTCCAAGCAAGACAAGAAATTCATGGCCTGCGCCCCGAGCCATTCCTATTCCGCCCTCTGCGAGTGCCTGAGGCGAGTGTTTATCTATCGGCAACCGGCTCCTCTTCCCACCATCCTCTACAACAGGAAGGAAGGAAGACAAGTAGGGCAGGTGGCCAAGCAGCTGGTAGCGACGCTGGAAACCCACGATCCGGTCTTGGGGTTTCAAGCAACAAATGAGAGATTGTTTGTCCTCACAGCAAAAGTCCTGTTTATAATAAAAGTAAGCACTGAGAACTGAAGACCAAATCTATCCCGTTGACTTCTCTGCATTCAGCTCCAGCTCAAAATAATGACTTTACGAACGCATAGGAAAGTACAATGGCATATTGGTGCAAAAGCAACGTGTCACGGGCACCGTTATTTTAACAGCATGACCAGTTGTATGTTAGAAATTGCCTATGTTTAAGAAGGACAAAAAAATTCAGCTTTTAACCATCAGTACAATGCTGTATTTGTGGGAAGCCTCGTCTCATGATGTTGCGAGAAATGTTGTTTCTTTTCCCCTTCTCTCTCAACCCTTTCTGGGGGGCAGAATCTGGACACGCAAAATGGTTTGTTTGCTGTTTTTCCAAACAGATTTCCACTGTAACTCTTTACTAGCATAATGGAAGTCGTCAGTCTTTTATTTTCACAGATTCTGTCCTACTAAGGTTAAAAAAAAATCAGTCCCGGTTTGTTTTTTAAAAAACACAATCTAGAAAAATGACCCATATAATTGAATTGTAACTTAAAGCGTACTAAAACTTCTCCCCCCCCCCCACCATTTTATGTTTCTCTATTTCTTAAATTGCTTCACTTGGTTCATTGAGCAAATGAAGGGGAATATGAACATCAGCTTTTCTCAGGCATCTTTTTTAATTGAAGCTAAGCCCATTTCATTCTGTGCTAACCCATCAGACTGGGTTGTATTCAGGTTTCAAATGATGATCTACAAGTATTTTAGAAATAAACTAGGGTGTTTTTTCCCTCCAAGTCTTTTGTGTTTTTTTCCAATGGCGGGTGGGGCTGTGGCTCAGCAGTAGAGCATGTGCTTTGCACACAGTACGTCCCCAGTTCAATTCCCAGCACCTCCAGTTAAATGAATAACGTCACACAGACGTGTCAAACTTATTTGCTACAAGGGCTGGGTCTGATATAAATGTTATTTTGTTGGGCCGGGCAATGTCTGCCACAAAGTGTAATGCCAGCTACTGAAGATGTCAACTTTATAAATGACACAGGCAAACCCAGTTAACGATATTATTTTTTACTCAAAATATAAACAAAAGACATTTATTCCTAGGAGTGAAAGCAATTGATTTACTGGGGAATCCACAAAATTCCCAATAAATGTATTTAATCATACGCAAGACTAGGTTTCTTCCAAGGGATACCAAAACCCGCCCCCTAGCCATTTCCTTTGATTTCTTGACAGCTTCAACCACACACACCTCACTGTGTGTGCCCGTGCGCCCTGCTCCCCCCCCCCCCAACCCCCACTCCTGCCTTCCCTCCCTTGCACCAGTTGCTGATGGGCCAGTTCCAACACCTGGGCCGTATGTTTGACACCCCTGATAACAGATCCCAGACTGAGACCTCAATCCTAGAAAGCTGCTACCAGGGGAGACGGTACTGACTTTAGTTGATAAATGGTCTGACTCAGTATAAGGCAGGTTCACTTCTTTATTCATTTACGAGATTTGAGTACCACCTTTCTTCCCAGTCAGGACCACCAAGGCAGCTAATAACAGATCCCAGTCTGAGACCTCAATCCTGGAAAGCTGCCACCAGGGTAGACGGTACTGACCTTAGCTGATAAATGGTCTGACTCCGTATAAGGCAGGTTCACTTCTTTATTCATTTACGAGATTTGAGTGCCACCTTTCTTCCCAATCAGGACCACCAAGGCAGCTAAAGACTACGTATAATAACGATGCATCTTAAAAACAATTTGTGTCCGAACTGTATAATACAGTAGATAAATCATAGGGCAGGAAGGAGCGATCACTGAGGGAACATCAGACAAAATAAAAAAAATCTGTCCATGCTGGCAGAAGACAGCAATAGAAGAGGACAGCCAGATCCCCCTGGGGGAAGGCTGTAGCTCAGTTAAGGGAGGGAATACGGCTGGATTTGAACTTGCAAGTTGCACAACAGCTATCACGGTCATAAGGAATAAGAGAGAGGATGGACTGAACTTGATGGGTAGCTTTGCTTGTGGGAGGGGGACGTTCAACAGTGTTGCACAGGCAGAAGGATGTCTGATCTGCAGCTGCAGAAGGCGCAGGATGTGATCCAGGTCTGACCCAGAAAGAGACCTTACTCTGTTTCATCTTTTCTTGCTCCGATGCGCAGGTAACCCTTTGTCAGCTTCCCAAACCTTGGGAATTGTTACAGCAATATATAAATGGTAAAGTAATCCTTGTTTTTAAAAATTGACATTTTACACCTCTAGCTCCAATTATTGAAATTGACCAGTTGAGATTTAAACTAAAATCTCATCAAACTGTTTTTTCCAGCGATCACTAGTCTGTTACTAACATCTGGTTTTATTTGATTGGGATAGTGTTGCTCAGCATTCCTGATTTTTTTGAGAGCTGAAGGTTCGAGGGTTCAAATAAACGACACAAAACACAGATCTGCCGAAGCTCTCTGAATCAGACTGGCCCAGCAGCGCTTTATTAAGGCTTTTTCCTTTTCCCTCCCCCTTGCCCTGTATAATGAAAAAGCTACAAGCAGAAGACTCTAAACTAGGATCACAGTATGTTCTTAACAGAATGTTCTTTGCCCACAGGTCACCTTATCTTGCCCGACTGTAGCCAAGTTTATTCTCTCGGCAGACTCAGCAGACCTTGTGCACTAATGCCCAATCTCCCTGTGGGAACACTGAACTCTGGGCATGCCTCTCAGAGAATCACCGTTCCCACAGCTCCATCCCTGGTCTCCCCCAGACCTGCCTCTCAAGGAGGAGGAAAGAGAAGAGAGGACACCAGCTTCTGAGGCACTCCTCCCCTTGTCCAACAGCAGCTGCTAATCCTGCCTGACAATACAGTGTAGTGGTTAGAGCAGTTGATTCTAATCTAGAGAACCAGGTTTGATTCCGCACTCCTCCACATGAAACCTGCTGGGGGACCTCTCAGAGCTCTCTCACCCCCACCTACCTCACTGGGTAGTGAAAGGCGGGGTATAAATCCAATCTCTTCTTCTTCTCTTCTCACATACTCCATATTAATATTTCCCTAGGTTGGTGTCAGACTAGGATCTGGTAGACCAGGTTTGAATCTGTTATGGAAGCTTGCTGGGTAACCTTGGGCCAGACACACACTTTCAGCCTAACGTTTCTCACGGGGTTGTTGTGAGGATGAAATGGAAGCTAGGAGAAAGGTGTCAGCCACATTGGATCCTCATTGGAGGGAAAGGCGGGGTATAAATGAAGTAAATAAATAGTTCTTCCAGTGTAGACTGTGCTTCGGTGGTGGTGGAAAGTGCTGTCATGTCACAGCTGACTTATGGCGGCCCCATCAGGCTTTCAAAGCAAAGAGACATTCCGAGGTGGCTTGCCATTGCCTGCCTCCACATCGTGACCCTGGTATTCCTTAGAGGTTTCCCATCGAAATACTAGCCAGGGCCAAGCCTGCTTCGCTTCCGAGATCTAGTACAACAAGGGTGAATAGGACCCAGCAATTCAGATCAAACATGCAAAAAACACATTGCTGAACAAGTTCACAGTATAATGAATAAACAATGAAGATACTGCTATGTCAAAGGCAGGTCAGAGGCAAGCATGAGATGGGAAGAATGTGTATGAATGCAGTTGTAGATACTTAGGCTTAATTTCTGTAAGTATGGCAGAATAATGGGCTTAGCCAAAGTTGTGTATTGAGGATGCATTTGAGGAAGAGTGGAAGAACATTTATTAAAGATAGAAACAGCTCAGGTCTTTGGAACTGGAGACAGCGAACACCCAGGGGAGTTTCTTTCTATGCACAGGAAATGAAGCATAACTAGCTCTGTGCTTGTATCTCAGTTTAGGTCTCCTAAAAGCTTAAATGAGTTTGAAGACATAATGGATAGGCAATCAACTCCTACAGGAAAAAAACTAATATCTACCTGTGTCAGCCAGCCCAGCTGTGAAACAAGATTTTACCAGCTGATTAAAAGCTCCAACATAAAAGAGCAATTCATCTATTATGTAGTGGTTCATCTATTCCATACAGAATCATATTTAGGAAGCCCGGAACTACTGAAAACTAATTTTCATTCTCTTGACAGATTAAGCAATGGAAGTAACACCCTTGTCATTTTTCCCCCCGGAGCTGTTGTTCTAATAGACAATAAAGGGAATAGATGAGCAGCAAATGTACCTTGGCTTGAAGAAGAGGTGACTGACACAGCAAATAGAACCAGAAAAGGCCTTTGCTCTTTTTGAGATTATTGCACACTATTGAGAACAGAGCGCTCTTTTCAGTTAATCAGAAGTCTGCAGTTCCTCTAGATCTGTCCCTCGTGTCTGTGAGCTGCTCATGCCCACACTGTGATGATGGGCCACTAGCGGAGAATAAGCATCATCAGATTGTCTCTTGGAAGAACTGCTCCAGGAGTACTTCTGTGAAACAGTCCAGGTACACCCAGCAGGACAAACCAGAAGCAACCTGATCTGGCAACACAAAAAAGTAAGAGCCCTGCTAGATCGAGCCATCTAGTTCAATCATTTGTTTCCTACAGTGGCCATCTGTGTCTGTCCAGGAAGCACACAAGAAGGAGCCTGAAGACGTCCTTCTTGGCCACTGCTTCCACTGCCTGCAAGCTTCCTGCCTCCGAATGGAAGTGCCGTTCAGCTATCACAGCTAATCGGTTTTGATAGCCTCTTATCCATAAATTGACTTGGAATTGATCTAACACAGCGTTTATCGCCTGTGGCAGCTAATTCCATAAGTGAATTTCTTTTGTCCATCCTGATTTACTTGATTCTGAATTTGTGTTCTGAAAAAGGGGGGGGGGAATACTCTCTTCCCATGCATCATTTCACCAATCTCCTTTTCCTTCTATTCCACTAGATCATCGCTTTTAATTTAATTAGAACTGTTAAAACCATTGCCTTTGACAAGTTGTGTTTCATAATTGAGAATGCGGCTTCAGAGAACCCTTTTATTTGTAACTGTCAGGGATTTTTAACAAAATGACTCCGTACAGATCTTTGAAACCGTGGTTCAATTCAGCTATGGTTAGCTCAGTTGCTGCCCTGATCTGGATGGTCCAGGCTGGCCCGATCTTGTTATTTCTCAGAAACTAAGCAGGGTTGGCCCTGGTTAGTACTTGGTTGTGAGACCACCGAGGAAGTCAAAGGTCGCTATGCAGAGGCAGGCAATGGCAAACAACCTCTGAATGTCCCTGTAATGATTCCTTGTTTTATTTGTGTGTGTGTGTCTTTAAAAGTTTGGTTGCATGGCTGTGTGATAGTCTAGGGTGGTTGAAACAGGCAAGTGGTGTGATTGGTGATTGGCAGAAAGGGGGAGGGGTTTTGGAAGTAAAAATTAGTGGATGAACCGGTATGTCAGTCAAGAGTGACAGTTGAAGAGTGACAGTTGATGAAGACAGTGGTGGTTAGAAGTTCGTTCGTTCTGAAGTCTGTGAGAGAAGCAGTCTGTGTGTGTGCAGTTAAGAACAGCTGAGGTTGTTCTGAGAGAATAGTAAAATGTAAATGAAAGTAATTGAAGACAAAGTTTAGGAAAGGCTGTATGTCCTGGAGAGAAACAGTGAACTTACATGACCTTGAGTTAAAGTTACTAAGTTACATGCCAAGATCCCTGACAATGGAGAGAAAAGTGTGTGAAATACCCAAAGCAATTGTTTAGTATTTACCCATTCCTAGTTACAGTGTTCTACCATATTATTTACGAATTATATCAATAAATCTACTTTTATTTAAGATACCAGTTCTGAAAGAAATACTTCCCAGGACCACAGTAGAACCTCGAAAGC